GCAAAAAGTATTAAATTTGAGGATGAGGTAAGATTTGAGAGGATTTTATCGGAAGCGTTAGGATCAACTGGAGTCCAAGCAATATCTTTAGCGTTGAAATCCCCCGCTGCTATAGCCGAGCAGCCCGGCTTAAGTAGAATTTTTAGTAGTTCATCATCCGACGAAACATTCGGGGGGTTGTAGATAGAATATATGTGGATGGCCTCACTATCTACGTAAATTTCTACTCCCACATATTCCGTGTTTGATTTAATGGTGTGAGGAAGAGTGTTATATTTGACTGAGGAGTGAATGGCTATGGCCACTCCACCACCCACCTTTTGTGATCTGTCCTCTCTGACGAACGCAAAGTTTGGTAAATGAAGTTTTTTAACATTAGAATTTAACTTCGTTTCAGAAAATATAATAACCTTAGCATTATGTTCAGAAACTATCAGTGATAACTCTGATAGCTTCGGTTTCAGAGAGTTGATGTTCAATGCAATAATGTTAATTGGCTTTACTGGCGCCATGTTGGAGAACTATTGTCAAATATGTCTGAGTATGAGGCTATGATCGTGAGGCAATCAATAGGCGACTCAGCAGTTTTTAGTAAATGGATCATTTCTTTAAATTTTTCAATTAGTTGGAATATATTCAATTGCAATAATTCTCTGACAATGGCGCCAGCATTCTCAATGCAGAGTTTTATGTTACTTAAGTTCTTATCGGGTGTAGAAAGCAGAGGCTCCTGGTCACTGGTTCTGCTCTTCGATGGCCGGCGAGGATGGTAGTATTGTTGTGGTCGAGTCAAATTGGGTTGCGTTGAGGAATCCAAAGCGGTTTCGTGAGTTGTGGAGAAGGGGTTCTCCATCTGAGCAGGATGTGTTGATGTGGATGGTGGGATTGTCTCCCTCAAGTTTTTTGTGACTGGCTGGCTTAGCACAGCGTGTGCGTATGACTTTGTTGTGGTAACTGAATTCAGCTGATTTTTATTTTTTGTTTGTGAGGGAGCCAATGATTGTGTTCCCCTGTTACCTTTCCTCATAGTGGAGTTCTCAACGTATTTGATTCGGGATATACACTTCCTATAGCTAGCCACATGGCATTCACCACAGTTGGTGTATTTAATGTCTTCACTAATGCAGTTTCTTGCGTCATGTGCACCTCGACACTTTACGCATTTTGGGTTGCGGCTGCAGTGAGTACTCGTATGTCCAAATGACTGGCATTTGAAGCACTGAGTTGGCTGTCCATTTGATTTGAATTTCTCTACTAAAAAGGTATGACACAATATTGTTGTTACCTTGGAGAAGTTAGCAAGTGTTGATTCAGGTGACACTGTGACCGAAAAGATGGGTAGTTTGACAGTTGAGTATGGCTCTTTTGTTTTTTTGATGAACTGCTTCACTGCAATTACATCTATGCCTTGAGATTTTAGATCGTCCTTAACGTCCTCCTCTGCGAATGAGGCAGGCAGTCCTTTGATTATAAACTTCTTAAGCCTATCTTGCTTAAAGCCGTAAGTGGTAGAACTTAAGATTTCTTTCAGTAAAGATTTTTACCATCTTGTTGTGGTCAGCCTTCGTTTTGAGGTGGATTGACGAATTTGTGCCCTGGTACTTGATTCTAAAGTCCTTGTTGGCGGCATTGGCTTTTATTAATTTGATCAAATCCATTACATCTAGGTTTTTGGTTTCCATAATGATTGGTGGTGTATGATCGGAGATCAGTTCAGGAGATGCTGCTTCGTTGCCTTTTCTTGCTGAAGCACATGATGCAACAGCCGGAGTGGGATGAGCTCCCGTCGTATGGTTTCTTTTTTTCTTTGATTGAACAGGACTCATGTTGTACTTTCGCTTGTCAGAGCTCAGCAAGGTTTTGTTCATTTGAGGGGACACCCTCAGTTAACTCCACTTACTTGGTGGCCAGCAGAGAAGTATTATAACACTTGGAAATACTGGGAGATGTAGGTTATAGGTTAGTCGCTGAGCAGGAGCAGGTGGCAAACACGTGCTGCCAACAGCAGCGCACAGCCGCGAATACTGAGCTAACACGCACTTATAACTTGTAATTTTTAATTGTGCATATAAACTCTATGTCAACTTTATAGAAATACTGTTGTTGAATTACTTTATATTTATTTAATGTAACTAACATCAGTAA